AGCCGCCGTACACCGCCGCCAGCGCAGAACACCGCAAACCCTCATTCATGGGATCCGCTTTGGACATCAGGTGAATGGACGTCCTCACACACTTAAACTCATAAAAAAACTACAGCGCACACATGCACGTTTCTGGTGCGCAAAAATATATTAAACAAATTCTCTTGATTTTGTAGCCTTCACTTCTGCAATTAAGTGAAACAGAATATTTAGTGGAAGAATTACAATAAGACCTTTAAGGTTGTCATTTGCGAGTTGTTAGTCATCCAATTTTTTCTTCAAGACTGTTCATAACTTTTTAAAGTTAGTTACATAAAAACGTACATTGGTCTAATTTGATACCGAACAGTAAGTAGCTGGTCATACTAGTTCTTAAGACACTGTCTTAACATAATGGCTTTGTTTATGCAACTGGCCCCAGGAATCATTGTTATATATATCATCATATCATCCGGCCCTAAAACTTGTATAGAGTTATGTCAATGTTTACTTAAAAACATCCAATTATGCAGAATATACGATGGTAAATATTTAATTGATGAGTTATCAATACAATATATAACAATACAATGTATAAGGTATAATTTTACCCCTAAATTCAGCATATTGACATAAGATAATATCTGCAAATTCTGTCTAAAAATATACCTCAGATTTAGTTGTGCAGTCAATCTGGAAAGCTCTTTCCCATTTCAGATTCACACTCAAAACAAGTCTTTTGCCACTCGGTGTGTGTAACCGAAGTTTCTACGGCCAGCGGTGACGTCACACGCATAGTTTTTCTGTACAAGGAAGTCGCACAGATCAGCGATGAGTCAAAAGACAATATCTTTTAAGATTTCAAAGATGTTTTGTCTAACATATGCCGCCGCACGGCTCCTCAAAGGGAAGCGTAAAAGTGAACACATTACACCAGTTTTGATCTCGCTTCATTGGCTACCGGTTAAATATAGAATTGATTTTAAAGTTTGTTCGTTATTTAAGTCTTTGCGTAACCAGTTTCAACTGTACCGATCTGAACTATTACATCCATCCTCCCAGTCAAGATCACTTGTACTATATGTTCCTAGAGCTAGACTTGAAATAGGGGGGATCGTGCTTTTCCTAAGTTATGGAATAGCCTAAGTCCATTTTTAAAGCAATATTTTACTTTAGTTCACAGGTTTTCCATTTTATTGTTCTTTATTTTTCTTTACTGTTGTATGTGTCTTTATATCTTATTGTGTGTTTCCTTGCCTTTTGTAAAGCACTGGTCAACACCAGTTGTTTTTAAACGTGACCAAAACCAGTCATATAGGTACATTTTTTGAAATTGACCATCTGAAAGCTGAATAAATAAGATTTCATTGATGCAATGCATGGTTTGGTATGATAAGACAATATTTGGTCGAGAGACAACCAAATTAAAAAAAATTTAAACATTGAGAAAATCGCCTTTAAAGTTCTCAATTTACGTTCGCAATTGTGCTGCATTTATACATTTACAGTAGGAAATTTACAAAATATCTTCATAGAACATAATCTTTACTAGAGCCAGACCGATATATCGGCAGACCGATATTATCGGCCGATATTAGGCATTTCCAAACTATCGGTATCGGCAGTTATAATGGCCGATAAATGAATATTTCAAAAATAAAATAAAAACGGACGAAACACACTTGAACCATGTCATGATTGTTGGAGTTGTATAGTTTGTCCACCAGAGGGCGCTCTACACCGTTCCTGTTGGCAACACTCGTAATACATACATTGCTTGAATAACAATTAAAAGATCATCCCCATCAGTTCTCTAAACTCAAATAAGCAACAAAATTTGTGACTATCATGTCCAGTTTAAAAAAATAAATAAATAGAATAAAATATCGGCCGATATATCGGAATATCGAATTTTAAAACCAAAAATATCGGTATCGGCCTTCAAAATCCTTTATCGGTCGGGCTCTAATCTTTACCTAATATCCCAATGATTTTTGGCACAAAAGAAAAATCAATGCATTGTTGGCTATCGCCACAACAAATACACCCGTGCGGCTTAAAATTGTATTGTATTGTAACAGTAGATCCTCAAGGTTGTCTCTCTCTGTCTCTCAGCGTTCCCAAAGAGGACATGGAGTTCCAGCACAATCTGGAGCAGATTAAGGAGCACGAGGAGGCCAATCACTCCACCCCGTTCCTGGGCAGCTTGAGTCGTCTTCTGGGCGTCCAGTCGACCAATTTCCCTCGCACGACTCCCACGTCCCGAGTCTCGCTCCTGCGCCGGCGTCCCCGCGCCCCTTTCTCTCGCTTCCCCCTTTACCTCAATCCCGAGAGCGCTCCGATGCCCAACCACTCCCGGGACGCCGACATGGCCGAGGACGCCTTCTCCTCGATGCCCCTTTACGAAAGACCTGGTTTCTACAGCTGCCCTCAGACGCCCATCCACTGCATCCCGCCGCCTGTCACTCGCGCGAGACCACGGCGAGCTAACGACAGCTCTAGCTCACTAGCGCAACCGATGGTGGGATCACAAGTCCTGGCTCCTCCCGACACACCCGCGCCTCCGTCCTCCGCTTTCCCTTGGGTTGGAGAAGACCGTGAACATCCAGGACCCGCGTTCTCATTCCCAGACCCTGCGCCCGAGCTGTTAACCAAAGCACGCCCCGTTCAAGTCTTGCCGTCGAGACGTCCCCTGCCTTTACGTCTCTCGTTAGACACGTCTCCTCCTCCGTCTACGCCAGAGAGGGTGTTTTCTTTCACTTCTCAATCTTGGCCGATCCACACCGCCAGCTCTGGGAGCGTGAACGCGGCGACCACAACAAACGGTACGGCAAACAACCCCTGGCCAATCAGCAGAAGCACCACCGCAAGCACGGCCAATCCCGTCAACACAAGCCCCACGGCGACTCAGCCGACAGCCAATCAGCACAACTCTCCCAACGACTCTGGAATCTCATTGGCTGAGGGGGATCTGTTGGGGGTTGCGCTGAGAACGAGGGAACAGCTCTAAAGTCGAGTGTTTATTATAGTTTTGTCAGACTCTACGAACACGATCCTCGCTGTAAAGCATGTCACACTGTAAGGTCTCAGCTGTTAGCGTCAGACATCATCAGACACGCGTCTTGACTGTAGTACAGATTGTCATGGAGTTTACATTATTAATCGGTGATTAGAGCTGTGTTACAGGCGGGATTGAAATGGTGGCAAACGTTTGACGGTCGTTCTCGTAGAAGTCACACTGCAGGACTGAGAGTCAAATCTTCTGACACCGCCAGAAATTCTGCTATACACACTCACCTAAAGGATTATTAGGAACAACTGTTCAATTTTTAATTAATGCAAAGTTAATTTTTCATGAGAATTTTTTTTCTCTGTTTTTCTGAATTAATGAGTTAATTTTTCATTAGAAAAAAAATGTTTCTCTGTTTTTCTGAATTAACGAGTTAATTTTTCATGAGAAAAAAAGTTTTTGCTCTGTTTTTCTGAATTAATGAGTTAATTTTTTGTGAGAAAAAAAGTTTTTGCTCTGTTTTTCTGAATTAATGAGTTAATTTTTTGTTAGAAAAAAAGGTTTTGCTCTGCTTTTCTCACGAAAAATTAACTCATTAATTCAGAAAAACAGAACAAAAAAAATTTCTCATGAAAAATTAACTCGTTAATTCAGAAAAACAGAGTAAAAAAAATTTCTCATGAAAAATTAACTCGTCGTTAATTCAGAAAAACAGAGCAAATTTTTTTTTCTCATGAAAAATTAACTCATTAATTCAGAAAAACAGAGAAAAAAAATTTCTCATGAAAATTTAACTCGTTAATTCAGAAAAACAGAGCAAAAATTTTTTTTTCTCATGAAAAATTAACTCATTAATTCAGAAAAACAGAGTAGATTTTTTTTTCTTCAAGGCCTCCGTATATTGCTGTATGCTAGCAGAGATAAATCATGTAGATCAGTAAAACCACTTGATCTTCTCCATCTTGTCTATATTTGACTGCCGGCTGCATCCTAAATACTTCATTACTACACTGAGCAGAAAACAGTAGATGAAAGTGTTACTTTCTATTTCTGAAGTGTGCATACTCTCCCATGAGGATTTGTGAATGCATGATGACTGCAGTATGTTCACAATCATACTATATACAGGTTTCTGTGCAACGCCACTTATCGCACAAAGTACTTATTCGAAAGAAGTGCCTACTCTTGGATGCAGCCTGCATCTCTCAAGAAATAGGTCATGTGATCTCCACTGTCACTGTCATTGGTAGTCACCACTGCTCATTTGCATAAACATTGTTGCAGAATGCATGCTTTTTTGATATTGAAAACTAAATTTGATGCTCAAACAGCCACGGATGCACAACAAACCTCCCAAATACAATGCATCATGGGATTGTGACAGAATTTAAGTGTTTTGTACCAACTTTATAGTGACTCTTAGTTCTCAGAATGAGGTGAAAAAGGGGTCAAATCAATGCCTTGTTCACTTTCGGCTTGATTGTACGGCAGAATGTTTATAGTTGTTTAACATGTTTGGTTAGGAATATACATTTATATGACTTTTCTTGGCCTGTGATTAATGGTTACTTATTAAGTGTGTTATTTTAAGTATCATTAATATACTATTATATTTTTTTTATATATTTTCTGGAATCATATTTTAGTTTGAGTATTATTTTTGTTGTTTTAGTCGTTTAAAAAAAAAATATATTAATTTTTATTTGAGTTTTAGTTATTTAGTGCATAGAAATTAGTTAGCTATTTTAGGTCAATTAAAATGAAATAACTACTTTTCATTTTAGGTTGTTATCGATCTAGGTTAGTATTTTTTTTTTGCTGACTCACTTTCACTTTGCCAGGAAAAGCTTCATAAATTATGCGTCTATTCTTAAACTTCATTAATTATGCATGGTTATTCTCAAATGTCATCCTTTGAACTATTGTGGTGACATTTTCTTCCTTGTTACTTCCTGCCAGTGAAAAGCTTATTCATACAGTTCTGTCTAAAAGAAAGACACATACAACTTTGCTCATTTTAGGCATTTTTATTGAGATCAACTAGTTTGAATGATTACATATTGCATATAATTAAAGCATTCAATGAAAATTAAAGTGTGTATATGGTATTTAGGCTATAGCCAGGGTGCGAATAGATGTTGGTCAAAGACTACTTGTAATATGAAACTTTACCAGTAAATACGAAGATACGTTTCAAGCTAAAGACTGAATGGGTCATACCATTATCTTTGCCTGATAGGTGAATTAAATAGCCTACGATATTGAACGGCGCACATTCAGGGATGTGCATTTATTGCATGGATGAATGCGTTTAAATTGCATATAAACAGTTCAGTTGAATGATAACACTTGACCTCTTCAACACTGTTAATCTGAATGTACGAGGCAAATGGACTTATCTTCAATGGCACCATTTAGTTTCAAGTACCGCTGTATCTTAATGCCATCTTTTTATGAATGAAAGCCAGTATCACTAATATTATAGCTACTGATGTCTCGATGAAAATGATTTCCCCCCAAATTTTAAACATTAGGCTTCAAAAAATATAAAAACCTTTAATTTAGGTGAACTTAAAACAATCCTCACTCAAACCCATAATAAATGTAATTTACAGTCCGCACTGCATAAATTATAAATGAAATGTAGAAATGAATTATTATCAAAGCGACAATCTTTAGCTTCACTTTACTGACAGACAGACAGAATTAAAGGCTCCTGTTACTTTAAGATCTGTCGCTGCTGACAGGATCTCACGCATCTCATTCTCTCACGACTATTTACGTCCATTAAAGATTGTATTTAACTCATTTGAGACTGTTCTTGTGAGGATGCTCGACAAAACAGACATTTTGGCATAAATGTGTGTGTTATTGTTCGTTCAAGCGCGAAAGGAGTACTCGATCCTGGCGCGCGTCGTGTGTGCGCGCGCGCACGTGCGCCAGGATGCCATTCACTGACAGCGCGTTCTCGTCTTGTCGCGCATTGCGTGAAAAAGAGCATGGTCATAATAACCCTAGCTAATAAATGATGGCAGTAAGAACGGATACTGCGTTTGCATTAAATATTTGAACACGTTAAAAATGAATCACATGCGAAAATAATCATGTTTTCCTCAACTTTAAGCCATGTATATATACATATCATATCACTGTTTGTAATGAACAAGGCCAATGTGTAATTCAAACCCTGGCTATAGCTATGGCTTATCAAAGGTTCGGGCAGAATCTCTAGTAAACTACAGTAGGGTTTCCAGCATGACTATGATTGGCTGACAGGCTGATTTCATCATAAACAGGAGAGAGTGACTGTCTAAGAGCTTTTCTTCCCCAGAGTGTGCTTGTCGAACAGATACTCGGCCATGCCGTTCTGAGGAGCTCCCATACGCCTCAGGCTGCCCACCCAGTCCGACAGCTCTTTAATGGACTTCACCTGCTCGTCCAGGTAATGCGTCTCCAGGAAATCACAAACCTGGTGTGAGAGAGCGACGGACAGCACATTAGACACGTTCACAAACATATAAAGCCCTATTTTAAGGATCTAAGCTCATGGTCTAAAGCGAATCCACTTGCTTAACGACTGGAAAAATGGCCGGTGCTCCCGGCGCATGGTCTAAAATGGTCGTAATGGGTGTGTTGAGTTTTTTTGAAAAGTGAACTTCTTTAAGTAATTCAAATGAGTGATTGACAGTATTATCTTTAACTAAAGTTAAAAATGTTACATATTTAATTTCTGTTTACATTTATTCCAGTTTAAAACAACAATGTTTCTTTTGTAATGGTTTAGCTTTAGTTGAAGATAACCCAGTTTTAAATGTCATGACCTTATTTGTAGGGTTGGGTATCGTTTGAATTTGAACGATTCTGATTCCGATTCCGATTCCTTGTTTCGATTCCGGTTCCTAACGATTCTCGATTCCGATTCTTCTAAGAGGCAGGGTCAAAAAAGTTTAGCTAACCTTGCTAACCAACGGTCTTTCTATGAGGCGCCGGACTGGACAAAAGCGAAGCGAACTGCGCGAGAGAGAAGCGTTTCAGTGCGCGCGAGAAAGGCCGAGTGTTTTGCGCGCGAGAGAGGCCGAGCGTTTCAGTGCGCGCGAGAAAGGCCGAGTGTTTTGCGCGCGAGAGAGGCCGAGCGTTTCAGTGCGCGCGAGAGAGGCCGAGGTCGAGACAACATCCCGATTTTGGTGAATACAATTCAGAGTCATTGTTATTTTATTTGACGCCCAAGAAACGAAAAATCTGGTTATGGTTCAGTGATTAGTTATGAAATCTTATTGGCTACATAAATTCAATCTTATTTAATCCTCCTTATGAAAGTTTATCTGCTCGAATTATTTATGTTAACTAAACACTATAAGACGTTTGTACTGATTATTGTTGTCCATAAATCGAACTTCCATGCCTCTTATATAGTAATTATATAATGTACAATTAATTAGGCTACGTACTAATGCCCGCACACACTCGGTCCCTCTCGCGCGCTGAAACGCTCGGCCTCTCCCGCGCTCACGAACTGCTCGGTCTCTCTCGCGCGCACTGAAACGCTCGGCCTATGGCGCTCGCTTTGTGTCATTCGATTCCTAGCCAAGCTTAAAGGCGTGTTAACGTGCGTGTGGAGAACGTCTGTACGTTTTAACGACTGCCTTTCTGGACGTCTGCCCGTCTTAACGTCTGCCCGTCTTAACGACTGCACGTCTTAACGTCTGGAGCTAGGCTATCTCCATTCAGCTTTTTTTTTAATTATTATTATTCAGCCAATGACTGAATGGCGATCCGTCTTAAGTTGTGGGTTTCTATCGTTGTTAGGACTATGTTGTAGCCTAGCTCCTTTCGTTTTCATATAAGGGGGCCAAGTATTTTTTTATTATGATCTGAGAAACAGACTTCTCACCGGCCTATACTGAAGTAGCTATAGTCCATCATACAAACTAGACCACAGCATTATAAATATAATAATGTTTCAATGTTTCGTTTTGTGTAATAAAGCATATCCTATAGCATAGCCTATCTTTCTGACAGGCGGAGGGTGAACCAAGACGCGCTTCCCATTTAAAAACAAGTTTCAAGTTACTTTTCACGTGACTGTCCGCTCAATATCCGCTCTTTGCCAGTTTCACATTTGTCTAAATATTACAATAGGCTTTTGTTATTTAATTTTCATTTATGTTGATTATGAACAGTGAACAGCATGAGTAAGAGCAACATCATAGGATGCGATATGACGGGAGACAAGTGGGTCAGACATGATTTTGACCACTTTATTAAGTTTTGTTTTGTAGAAAGACTTTCTTTAAAGTGAATTTCGTTTTGTATCAATTATGCACGAGCATGCATGGGAATAGGCTATACAGGCTAATAATAATACAAAAAATATAGATATAGTAGAGTGGCAGTGGGTGGAATTATATTCTGAAATTCTATGTTATAAAAAAATCGTTATAACGAGTTGTAGCCTAAATCCCGAAATAAAGGAGCTCGGCCAAACAAATATGAAACTACTAAAATAAATATAAAACCGCCAGTAGATGGCGGCAAGGCACTGTTCTATTGACATTACTGGTTAATGTTCAAACTATTCTTTCAAAAAAACAAAAAACAAAGAGGCTATATATTTAATATCCACAGAACTACTCCTTTAAGACAAAAGTAGTTCTGCTAGTTCTTTGTTCTGCTGTGGTGATGTTTGGAACAATTTTTTTTTTTTTTTATTGTGTGAAATGTCATTACCATATAGTTTATTTACAGGCATTCTGGTTTTCTAATAATTTTTTCAAAAGCTAAAGACTGCTCATTACAGAAATATTAAAATAAATATTTACAAATGTGTTTTTTACTTGGTATTTTTTTCTCAACTTTTGGTCTCAATTGGCAGTTAATTTTCATATATTGCGGGTTGATATTTTCCTAATTATGTTACCCAGTTAAACATTATGTGAATTTAAAGTGACTGCGTTATACGTAAATTGAAATATAGCTAGCCTAAATATATATGCCGTTGTTGGTTCCAATGACATGCTACATTTTAATGTTTTAATGACAGCAAGCATTTCTTGGCTATAAATTTTGCATTTCACCAATGAAAGGTAAAGCATTAAATCAACCAATGATCAACCAGTTCTCTGAAGTAGCTCAGAGGTGCATCTCATGAAGCTTCATCTGGATATCTAGGAAATACTGAACAAGTACACTTTCATATCGACAACATCAATAAGCATTTTGAATATCTTGTTTGTGAGCAAATACACAAGGACTATTCAATGGTACTGATATGTTAATTTACATAAATACCACTTTTGAGAGATGAACTAAGGATTTGAGGAGGTATAGGCTTTTGCAGGCAATCCATGGACTGCTATAATTATTTTGAGAAATGCATTTACTGGTTTGCAAAACTTAAGGATGATTCAAGAAACTACCAAAGTGACTGAGAAAAACTGTAAAATGACATTGAAGGCAGTATGTGCAAAGGGATTTAGTGAATGGATGAACATGATTTCATGAAGTACAATGTTCCTGAATCAACATCCTTTTTGATCATTGAGCAATATTACTACAACTAGATTTGAGGAATAAGTTTACAGTTAATGTCAATTTTCAGGATAGCTATAACCAGCAGTGTGAGGTTTACACAGCCTAAATGTTTGATTGTCGGCTATAGACAATTTATTTATTATCAGAGGAGTTTTCGCAGGAGTTCCATCAGTCGCTAAATAAAAAGAGCATACTTTGTTCTCTTTCTTTATAATCTATTCACACTTTAAATAAAATAGTTTTGTTTGTCATAAAGGAAAGAGTGAATCCAAACTGTTCTGTGGGTCAGTAATTTCCTATTTAGAAAGTGGAGATGGTCAAATAAATGCTGCTCTGCTGCCACCTACTGATTAAAGTGTTCATCTCATCTTATTCTGTTTAAAGTGTTTGTTTTTCCTGCAGGTGAAGACTATGCAGCGTTTGCTCCTCTTACTGTATTTATATGGGCTGTCAACTGTTTTGCCTGACTTGGGCAAGATTTTTGTATGCTCTCAACGGTAGCAAAAAATGTGTAGTATGACTAGACGACATTTATATATTATTAAATAGTACATTTATGTTAAAACATTTTTAATTTGAATGATTAATTACTTGTTCAGAATAAGAATAGCAGTAGCCTGATCCAAGCAATCACAGGCTAACTAATTTTAGTTTAAAACCCAATAAACTCTAAAATGGTTTCTGAATGGTTAATTAATGCTGGATGCAGCATGAGTGAACTCGAGGCATGCAGACTGTTGCTGGCTTGCTGCAGAGCATTAACACATCTGAAACACACTAATATATAATGATAAGACTCGGTTTTTCTGAATTTTTTTAGCCCATTTTATTTTTTTATCTCTGAAGATCGAATAATCAAAATACATGCCATAGACTTTTATTAAAAAGTTACATCTATCAATGGTACATTACCAGACATTCAGCATTATAAAAATAAGTGAATGTCCAAAATAAGTCTTGTTTGTAAACTTAGATTGTGGCAGACGTGCAGACGGGCAGACGTGCAGACGTTCAGACGTGCAGACGTGCAGACGTTCAGACGGGCAGACGTGCAGACGGGCAGACGTGCAGACGTGCAGACGGGCAGACGGGCAGACGGGCAGACGTGCAGACGTAATCCACACGTTAAACTTTTAACGTGACTCCGCCGTGACGTCTGCATAGATCAACAGCTACACGTTATTGACGTGTCTACGTGACGTGATATTTGCGTGTACGTCTCCATTTGTTTTATATGGAGACGTACACGCACGTATTCACGTGTGTTATCTGTCTTGCTTGTCAGTCTCGTCGCCGAATGGAACATTCCGAGCGCCATACGGCCTCTCTCGCGCGCACTGAAACGCTCGGTCTCTCTCGCACGCGCGCGCACTGAAACGCTCGTTCTCTCTCGCGCAGTTCGCTTCGCTTTTGTCCAGTCCGGCGCCTCATATCTTTCTGAAGGAAATAATCCTTTCTGAAGGAAATACTCCTTCTGTAAAAATACTCCTTTTGTCACAAATTTTGCATTTTGCAGAGATTTCGTTATTTTTAGAAAAGTGAAGCCACACTTTGGATCGCCAACGTAAGCTACTCATGTTCGACTCGCGTGGTTATGCCAACACTTCCGGTAGACGCTTCTTTGTTGGTGTTGTTCAGCGGTTTCTTCTTCCGCTCGGCGGACTGTGAATATCGAAACTAGGAATCGAAATTTTAACTTTTGAACGATTCCGGGAAAAACGAAAAGTTAGTCTCGGTTCCAATCGATTATCGATACCCAACCCTACCTATTTGTTGTGTACTCACATGTGGATCGTTGTGTTGAGTCGCGACCTTGTGTAGTTCCAGTAGCGACAGATTTACGCTCTTTTCCAGAGCCAGAGCACATTCCAGCGCTTCCAGACCACTGCCCCACTCATCCCGATCCGGCTTCTGCACACACACACACACACACATAACACATGCTCATATCCTCCAGCAGACGAGCTTTTAATTGGCTTGATCCGTCCCGTACCTTGATGTCCTGCAGGTAGATCCGTCCTCCTCTCTGGTTCTGCAGACTCATCAGCTTCTCCGCATGTTCTCTCTCCTCCTTAGACTGCTCAAGGAAAAACTTAGCAAAATTGGGCAAAGACTTGTCATCCCTGTCGAAATAATACCCCTGGAGAGAAGAAAAGTCAACCATGAACCCACATCAGAATCAGAATGAGCTTCATCGCCAAGTATGTTTATAAATACAAGGAATTTGTCTTGGTGACAGAAGCTTCCAGACATGAGAAATGACATCTGGTGGTTGTAGCATGTTATATACAAATGTAAATATGAAGATTACTCATTATAATAATACAGACCTAGTCATAAGTGATCACTCGTATAATAAACGCCTGCTCTCTCACCATGGACAGGTAGACGTATGATGCGTACAGCTCCAGGTAAACCTGTCTGTTGATGGCCGCCTCACACTCCTGATGGAAGTTCTGCCTCACCTGAGAAGCCATAATTCTGGAACACATGGAAATAAACAAGACGTACAAATGTTTCATTAGTAATCCAAAAATACATATTATATAATCATCATTATATATATACACACACATACGTGTATCAAACATTGAATTCCATATATATCGAATTTAATATTTTATATACATACATATACGTAATGCAGAGCATAGCAAGATGCAATACTATGTAAACAAGTAATAATCTGTGAATACAACAGCCCTGTTTATTGAATATGAATTGATGAAACGTTACTTACCCTTAAACAATGAATCCTTGACCAAAAACACGGAGATGTAGGGATTTCTCAATATGCCCTTTTAGCTTAAAACACAGGATCAACAGCGAGAGCCAGAATAGAAGCAGCGTGGAGTGTGGTAATAGTCAGACGTGCACGAATTATGGGGGTGATGGCATAAACATGCACGGGCGCGCGCGCGTTATTCTAGCCCGAAAATAAATCACTAGAGTCAAGTTTCAAAATAAAAGTGCTGATTAAAAAAAATAGATCAAAATTGTTTTATTTAAATAAAAACACAAACTTGTGTGATTTTCAAATACTTAAAAATAATATATACACACCAAAAATCGTGTGTTAACTCTGAAAAAGGCACGACATATCACCAGTCCACCTGATGTCGCTGTTTAATGTAGATAGAAGGCTCCTAACATGAATGCCTGTGGATTAGCGACCGCCTACTGGCGTACGCCTTTAAGCCAATCAGTTTGGACTACTGATAAACGTCATGTCGTGCCGTAATTAATATTCATGATCCAAACATTCAAACGGAAAAAGGGAAAAAGCAACATCCGATTAGTTTGTTTAAAATGAGTAATGGATTCTAGCTCTCAGCGTGCACCGTGTACTGTGTTCTTTGATTTAGAGACAACTGGTCTGGGTATGTGATTTTATAAACCTTATAAACAATGAGAAATGTGTAAACGATTGTATGAATGAAGCTTTTTTCATGCTCGTCTCTGCTCAGTGTTTTGACCACAAACGTTACTTATTAATTTTATTTTTTAGGAATTATATTCTCAAATCTTAGTCCTGATTATCAACCTTATCAATGCAAACAGTCGTGCTGCTTAATATTTTTTTTCATAACCTGTGATATTCCTTGACACATAAACCATTTATTCAAAATATAAATCTTTTACTGTCACTTAAACTTTAATTTAATTAATACAAAGTATTAATTTCTTAAATAAATAAAAAATACTGGCCCCAAACTAGATTTCTATTTTTAAAAACTTTTTATTCATCAAAGAATCATGAAAAAGTATCACAGGTTATAAAAAAAAAATATTACGTTGATGGTTTCTGAAGGATCATGTGACACTGAAGACTGGAGTAATTCAGCTTTGATCACAGTGACATTTTAAAGTAAATGCAAATAGAAAACCGTTATTTTAAATTGCAATAATATTTCACAATATTACAGATTTTTCTGTATTTTTAACAAATAAATGCAGGCTTGATGTGCAGCAGAAGAGACTTCTTTCAAAATCATGAAAAATAGTAATGTTTCCAACCTTTTGATTGGTACTGTGTGTTTATGTACAGTCAAAACGAAAAATTTCTTACATTATCACAGTTTATTCGCTATAGTTTAGAAAATGCTAATAAAATATGAGCAGAATTGATATTTGACTGGTTTAGTCCGTCCTTCTGTTCGAGTCTCACACATGAATTATGTTGAATATCTGTTAAATTTAACTCCACAATTAGATTATACCAGTTTAGCTCAAGCAATGCTTCATGTTGTTCAGTGTGTGTGTAAAAAGAGCATTAGCAATTACAGAAAACACACTTGATCAGCTCAAAGTGGAGGAATCATTATTAGGAATAGGAATCAAATGTTGCCGAAAGTTTTTACTCGCACATTATCCAAATTATTATTTTATGATTTTTTTGGACTGAGCTAATATCAAAGGACTTATTGGACGTTTTGAGTGATTGTAGAGTATTATTGCTTTATGATGTTGTGATATATTATTTTGATATTCTCTTTGAGCTGGTGTTTTGCAATTTTATTTGGATGTGGTTTCCCCCCTTATTTTTTTGTGTTTCATTTTGTCTTTGAAATCAGACGGGTGTTAATGAAGAATTTAAATGAAATTTACATAAATGAACTATAGTCAGTGTTGGGTGTAACTAATTACGAAGTAATTCGTTTTTGTAATTTAATTACTTTTCCCGTGAAAATGTAAAGTAAAGGATTACTCTTAATTTATCTGTAATTTAATTAGTTACTTCTGATGTAATTGAGGTAAATACTGTGTATGGATCAATCCGATCTCACAGCGATTCGTATGCGTTTTATGAGGTGTCTAAATATTACGACCGCACTCGTACAAATTCGTATGAATTATTGTAAAATATGTATGAAAAAAGTGTGAAATGTCATGAGATCAGACATTAAACAATAGTGGATTTGACATCAAAATGTATTGTCTGATGTTAAAAAGTATGTTTTTATAATGTAAGCTTCTCCACCGTGGTCAGTTTAAGGATAATTCATGCAATTTTATAGTATTTATTTGAAAGATTTAAAACAGATTCATGTCTATCCTTGTATTATTCAGCTGGTTGAGATTGATATGGGATTTTGAAAGTAATTAGTAATTAATACAGTAATATAATTACACTGTTGAAGAGGCAATTAGTAACTAGTAATTAATTACTTTTTTAGAGTAACTTACCCAACTCTGACTATAGTGTAGTTAAAAAAAATCTGCATAATTTTTGGTTTGACTGTATGCTTTTTGCTCATGTTGTGAATCTCCAGACCGTTCCTGTGAGCTGGTCCAGCTGGCGGCAGTGAGCGGGAGTCACACGTTCAACCTCTTCGTGGTTCCTCGTCGGCCGATGCAACCCAGCGCCTCCAGGATCACAGGTTTCAGTGTGAGACGCCAGCGTCTGTTTCTCCACCGCAGGCCGGTTCTCACCAGCTCTCTCCGAGAAGCCCTGGTCTCCTTCATCACCTTCCTCCAGATGTTGGGTCGGCCGCTCCTGGTGGGTCACAACATCCGCCGGTTCGACTGTCCTGTTCTGGCCAGAGCGCTGGATGAGTTCAGCCTTAGGTCAGACTTCCAGAAACACGTGTGTGGATTCGTGGACACTCTTCCGTTGGCCCGACAGCTTCTCAAAGACAGCGGCCTCCAGAGCTTCAAGCAGGAGAACCTGGTGAAGAGCCTGCTGGGAGTTTCATACGCGGCCCATAATGCTCTAGAGGACGTGCGAGCGCTGCAGAGACTCTACTGGGCCCTCGAGCCCACGGCCAATCAGATTCAGCAGCACATTTTCACTCTGGACTCATTGGCTGCTGCATCTGTCAATCATGAGTAGCATTATGGGATGTGTTGAATATGATCACTTCAGTGGATATCACAGATGATTAACATCTTAGCAAACGTCCAGCTGCTCTCAAACAAGTGAAGCAAATTTGTACATTGGTAATATTTTTTTATTTTTAATAAATAAATATATTGAAATATTTGTATGATTTGAATATTAATATTTCTATTGTTTATTGTTATGTATTTTCCTCTGATTTTGGGAAGATTTGCATATCAGGACTAGATCTCTTCTACTATTAGTATTTCTTCTATTAGTTTTCTAATAAAACTTTCAAAAATCATTTATAATATAGATAAGTTAAAGGAGTAGTTCACTTAAAAAAAAACTTTTGCTGATAATTTACTCGCCCCCGTGTCATCCAAGATGTCCATGTCTTTCTTTCTTCAGTCGAAAAGAAATTAAGGGTTTTCTCCATATAATGGACTTCAATGGGGACCAAACGGTTCAAGGTCCAAATGAGAGTTTCAGTGCAGCTTCAAAGGGCTTTAAACGATTCTAGACGATGAATAAGGGTCTTATCTAGTGAAAAGATCACTCTTTTAAAAAATAAATAAGTTTTAGAAGACCAAATGCTCACCTTGCTGTGTTCTGTGATAAGCGTTTGTGACTCTCCTGTTCGAACTCGTTCATCAAAATGAACGAATCTTTTTTCGAGTCATTTTGTTCGTTGAAATTATTTATTGGTAGTTGACAGGAGTGTATTAGTGCAGTTCAGTGTAAATTCATCTCTCTTTGCTTTGCAGATATTCATACTCCTGCACTGAAGGAGCAAACAAAGAGCTGTGGTCATCAGGACATCATCTCTTCTCCAGTGATGGACAGAGTAAGCATCTACTTCCTTTACATTCATTACAGTGTTTCCCCAACACTTGACTAAAAGCTTCTGCAGGGATGACGTTTTATATCAATAGGATTTTCTTCCATTTGCTTTAAGTTTGTTGCAGAAAATAAGTTCTGTAACCCAACAAAAGTTTATTATTCTTACACTTTTTGCGATAATCTACACAAATGAACCCAACTTTTATAAAGTTTGAAGCCTAAATTCAATTGGCAGATGTAAAAAGCTACACAACACTACTTCAAACTCACCACAATTAAGATTTCAACAATTAATTCTTCTTGATAAGATTCTTGATTCTTGAAAGAAAAAAAATCCTGAAAGTTTGAGTTAAAATAGTTTGCGTGATTATAAACACTATTGGCCGGGTTCACAGACTAAAATGCATGTTTGAGCTATTTTAACTGAAAACAACTTGCGCTGATATCTTTTAAAATATTTACATTTAGTCATTTAGCAGACAGAGACTTATAACTGAGGACTACAGCAAACAAGTCATCGTGAAGAGGCAAAAACAACGCAAGATGTGCTCAAAATACAAAGTTCAAAAGAGTAGCAGAAACCAGACAACGGAGGATTTAAGGAAAATTAATTATTTATTTTTTTGTAAAATATTAAGTCAAAATATGTGTTTCGTCTTAAGATGCACACCAGTAATGTTTTTTTCTAAGGCACGTTTAAAAAAGCCACGCAAATGTCCTGATTGACTTAATAATCCAATTTCAATATTGAATAAAAATGTGCATAATTTTAATAGCTTTAGACAAATTAGTTTAGGCTGCAATTCTTGCATTCATATATATATATATATATATATATATATATATATTTATGTGTATGTATATATATATATATATATATATATATTTACATTACCGTACAAAGCTTAGGTCATTAAGATTTTATAAGAAGTCTCTTCTGCTCACCAAGGCTGCATTTATTTAATAAAAAATACAGTAAAAATACTAATATTGTGAAATGACTGTTTTCTATGTGAATATATAGTAAAATGTAATTTATTCGTGTGATCAAAGCTAAATTTATCATCATTACTCCAGTCTTCAGAGTCACATGACTCTTCAGAAATCACTCTACTATGAGGATTTGCTGCTCAAGAAACATTTATGATTATTATCAGTGTTAAACAGTTTTATTTCAGGATTCTTTGATGAACAGAAAGTTCAAAAGAGCAGCTTTTATTTGAAATAGAATCTTTTGTAACATTATAAATGTCTTTACTGTCACTTAATATTTCCTTTTGTTGAATTTCTCCCTCAAAAAATAAAATAAAACACTTGTGCTGAATGATGTCATGACGCTGTGTGTAAGTAAAGAAGATGATTGGAAAAGACAGTGAACAAGCCTTTTAGTTAAAGCCCAGGCTGAGTGAGCAAAACCCGTTGCATAATTTTATGCCATAAAAACTGGTCAGAAATGAAAGATTACAGAAGCGTTATTTATTAGAGATTAGCATTACATACAGAGTTCCTCTTCTCAGACACATGCTCCATTACAGCTCAGAAAGTGCCATACATTCGTTCATTCATTCAGACTCTCGAACGCATGCTTGGATCCCAGAACACTTCAGGATAATACAGCTCCAAAAATATAGAAATAATCCCAGAGGCCAACAGAGTTGAGGTCAGGCTTCTGGTTTTACACGTACAAATCTGAAGAGGGCACTAGAAATACAGTAAACAAACGGTAATTCCCAGCATCCTTTGTGCTCTCAAGTGCAAATAGTAACTAACTACAGCAATAAAACAGAACCACAGATCAAGCCATACAGTAACTAATAAGGGAGAATAAAGATCATGGTTGCAGGGTTATTTCTAAAATCAGTTGAAGAGGTTATCAAATCCCAAAACTAGTGTCTGTCGCTCATTTAGCAAAGAAAGTACTTATTAATAAACTCTCTTCCATGGAGGAGTGTGTTTGCAGTAAGGACTCGATGTTCTTCAGCAGCAATACCATGAAAAAGTCTAAAAAACTTTAAAATTGGTCTCATGTCTACGTTACCGGATTTGCATGTAAAAGTTAATTTCCTGTCCTCCATCTGGGTTTTATGTTATATCTCCTTATGCAATAATAATTCTCTAAAGGAACACATCTCATTTCGTTAAATGTTTATATCTTGCAGCCAATAGTGAGTGATCATGCATCCCTGATCATGCATTTAACGTACGTGTCAACATGAAGTCACAACTGACCCGATCTACTTTCTTAAAGAGGCTGTATGTAGGAAGGACACTTGTTAGCGACACCGGTGGCCATTAGGTGAACTGCAGTCAGCATCATATTGCTTGTGTTCGTAACGTCCATGAGATTCAACGAGTGTAAAGCACAAGCTTCACGATGTCGTTAGATGAGGTGATTAAAACTACACTGTTACGATATTTGATTAAGATATATCTGAGAGTAGACGTGATAGACGTGAGACTATAGTTAATCCATATTCTTTGCATGACGCATTGACAGTACAGTTACAGTACAGAATGGCTTTCGGCACTGTCCTGAACGTGAGAAATCATTTAGTGTGTCACTGAACGGAAGTGTGGCTCTCGGGAGCGCGTAACTGTTATTTTTCCTTTATGCGAGTCCTTCGCGTAAAAATCAATCGACAGGCTTTCGTAGGCAACTTAGGAAGACCTCCTGTTTTAAAGGAGTAGTTCACTTTAAAAAAAACAAAAAAATGCTGATAATTTACTCACCTCCATGTCATCCAAGATGTCCATGTCTTTCTTTCTTCAGTCGAAAAGAAATTAAGGTTTTTAATGAAAACATTCCAAGATTTTCTCCATATAATGGACTTCAATGGGGACCAAACGGTTCAAGGTCCAAATGAGAGTTTCAGTGCAGCTTCAAAGGGCTTTAAACGACACTAGACGATGAATAAGGGTCTTATCTAGCGAAACGATCACTCATTTAATAAATAAATAAAAAAAATTGTTTTATAAGCACAAATGCTCGCCTTGCTCTGTTCTTTGATGAGCGTTCGAACTTGTTCATCAAAATGAACGAAGCTTTTTTCGAGTCATGACTCGAAGGGTCCTAGATAAGACCCTTATTCATTGTTTGGTGTCATTTAAAGCCCTTTGAAGCTGCACTGAAACTCTCATTTGGACCTTGAACCGTTTGGTCCCCATTGAAGTCCATTATATGGAGAAAATCCTGGAATGATTTCATCAAAAACCTTCATTTCTTTTCGACTGAAGAAAGAAAGACATGGACATCTTGGATGACATGGGGGCGAGTAAATTATCAGGAAAAATTATTTTTTAAAGTGAACTACTCCTTTAAGTTTCATTACAAGCTGTTCACACATTGGCAATAAAACAAGTATTAATACATGCAAATTCGTACATATAGCCCCTTTAAGACGTGTTCCTGGTCTTATTATGAATGATTCAGCAGTGGAAGATAATCTAGAGAGAAAAAATTATTTGCCTTTGTAATTTTTAGTCAAAATGTAACAACTTTTGCCGACATCACCGCTAGTGCGGGCTACCAATACCCAGTTAGCTATAGTTTAAGGCTACTCTTGTAGGCAAAACATCTTTTCTAAAACCCTACAATAGTTCATTAAATGTTGGTGGTCTAAACTCGTTTATTCTGGAACATCCACTTTTCACCATCCAATCAAATCTGATAAGCCTGGTAAATATGTCGCATTATTAAATGAAAAGCGTTGTGAATTTTTCATGTTGACAAAAAGGAATTCATATACTTTTACATATTTTAAAAGAACATGCACGCAGAACCTCAATCATAATTCAAACCGATTCATTATTTATATTTAGTTTTTTTTTTTTTTTTTTTTTGGTTGAGCATTGCAATTTTAACACTTGAAAGTGATCATAATTTCTGGCTAAAGAGGGGTCATGCAAGTTCGTGATGAAGACAGAAACATAGGAACTGTTTCAGCGGGGGGTTATATTAGGACAGAGGACGCCGTTTATGAAGTGTCCTACAGTAAACAGCACGCTCTGAACATGGTCATGCCCATCGATGATGTCACCTGTAACGAGACGCTCTCATTGGCTGAAATGAAGAGCACGGAGCCTCGTTTCAGAGTGATGTCAGAGAGGGCGGCAGCAGACGTGGCGACGGCGTCTCCGTCGATAACCAACAGGATCCCGGCAGAATCCAGCGCGCTCACAGTGTACTGATGCTCTGAGGCGGGAATCTGGAGAACAACACCAGCAAAATGAGTATAAAGTTACGAGAATACCAAAATTTGTGATAAATTGAAAATCATTGAATTAAATGATTCAAAAAAGAGCTCATGATTCTCTTACGATTCTGAACAGACAACTAAACAAAATAACTTGTAATTTACTAGAGATTCTGACAAAATGTTCATTGCTGCATTTGATAAAAAAATATCTAATTCATTTGATTTTTCTTTTCATTGATAGATGAAACAGCATTTTTGAACAAGTCTCTTGAATGAATGATTCAATGACTCACTCATAAATACTTCACTTGTTTCATTACTGGATGAATCAGCATTTTTGAACAAGTCTCTTGAATGAATGATTCAATGACTCACTCATAAATACTTCACTTGTTTCATTACTGGATGAATCAGCATTTTTGAACAAGTCTCTTGAATGAATGATTCAATGACTCGCTCATAAATACTTTACTTGTTTCATTACTGGATGAATCAGCATTTTTGAACAAATCTCTTGAATGAATGATTCAATGACTCGCTCATAAATACTTCACTTGTTTCATTACTGGATGAATCAGCATTTTTTGAAGAATCTCTTGAATGAATGATTCAATGACTCACTCATAAATACTTCGCTTGTTTCATTACTGGATGAATCAGCATTTTTTGAAGAATCTCTTGAATGAATGATTCAATGACTCACTCATAAATACTTCGCTTGTTTCATTACTGGCTGAATCAGCATTTTTTGAAGAATCTCTTGAATGAATGATTCAATGACTCACTCATAAATACTTCTCTTGTTTCATTACTGGATGAATCAGCATTTTTGAAGAATCGCTTGAATGAGTGATTTAATGACTCGCTGAAATACTTCACTTGTTTCATTACTGGATGAATCAGTTTTTTTTAAACGAATCTCTTGAATGAATGATTCAATGACTCACTCATAAATACTTCACTTGTTTCATTACTGGATGAATCAGCATTTTTGAAGAATCTCTTGAATGAATGATTCAATGACTCGCTCAAGTACTTCACTTGTTTCATTACTGGATGAATCAACATTTTTGAACAAATCTCTTGAATGAATGATTCAATGACTCACTCATAAATACTTCACTTGTTTCATTACTGGATGAATCAGCATTTTTGAACAAATCTCTTGAATGAATGATTCAATGACTCACTCAAATACTTCGCTTGTTTCATTACTGGATGAATCAGCATTTTTGAAGAATCTCTTGAATGAATGATTCAATGACTCACTTATAAATACTTCACTTGTCTCATTACTGGATGAATCAGTTTTTTCTCTTGAATGAATGATTCATGACAAATACATCACTACCGTAGACATCAGTGTTCACTATAGACTTTTATCCCAGTACTTCTGAAAATATGGATTATTGTAATACAGAAATAGTGAAGCTGTTTCATATCTCTGCATGTGATGCTGATGTAGGACAGCTCAGGTGTGTGGCGCACCTGTATTCTCATGACGCTGAAGTCTGGCACAGGAGGGTCGTAGAGGTAGACGCAGGGGTCGCTGTTGTCCCGCACGCTCGGGAAGATTTTGGCACTGGCCGGAGCCGGGCTGTAATTCAACATCTCACACAGTGTGTCCACGTCGATGTATTTGGGAGTCAGTCCGGCACGTACGGTGTTATCAGAGCACGCCATACACTCCACACAGTCTGCAGAGATTCAGAGAGCCATCAAACAGCGGATACACATGGCAAATTAATAAATATTAAGTGAAAAATTAATGTATTTCACAAAAAAGATGACACAACCTACATGGAATAACTGAATATTCAAATAATATTATGGATTATTAAATTAATATTAAATTGCATATTTCATTAAAAAAACTATAACCTAACTGGAATAAATGTATATTAATGAATGCAATTAATATTATGTATTATTAAGTGAATATATTTCACAAAAAGTACAATAACAAAACCTACCTTAAGAATATGAATGAATATTAAGTGTATATTATTGAATTTATTTTCAACTAAATGTATGTATGGAATAAATTAATATTAAATTAATGTTTCACAAAAATTATAACTTTAATATATTATAATTACAACTCCACAACCTGCTCAAAGAATGATTAATGTGAATATTAAGAAGAAACTACAATACGACTGTTTACGTTTTTTAAATATTGCGTTTTTTTTTCAGACTTTGTCCAAGAAACATGTTTTGTGAGTAATGAGGTGACCCCTGACCTCCAGACAGATAGGCATGAGGCTCGTTCGCTCCCAGAAACATGGCTTCCCCCGGCTGCAGCACCATCCGGTTCAGGAAGTAAATGGAAAAGCATCCGATGTCCCCGGGATACTGGGAATGCAGTCGGAGCAGCAGCTCTCCGTTACTCCTGGACGTGTCTTTGCCTGCAGCCTCTGGGACAAAACAGCAGGCTCAACTTTCAGGTTTGTTTGTTTGTTTGATTTATAGCACATTTGAAAATGGCAAGCACACTAAACGGGCAAACCACACATTCGTGACAGAAGCTCACAGTAAATCGAAAGCCAAAACAAACAAGTTTTAAGAGACGATTCAAAAACGTTTGGTTAAAGGGATAGTTCACATTGAAATACATTTTTGATATGTTTTATCTTACCTCAACGGCATCCAAGATGTAGGTGTCTTTGTTTCCACAGTATTTTACAATTTTGATATTTTTAGGTCAAACCGTTGTTGTCTATCAGTCATATAATGGAGGTCTATGGTCACCACCTCACAGAGCATGCACAGAGTCCAGATTAAACATGATTTAATGACTCGTAAATGTAAATTGTAAATGTTTTTACCTCTTGTAACCACAGCCAAGTCCAAGTTATCTGAGGGCGCGGACCGGGCGCTAGGCCATCAATGTGTTCTTACATTTCCGAGTCATTAAATCATGTTTAATTTGGACTTCTCTGTGCTGCTCTTTGAGGTGGTGACCATAGACCTCCATTATATGACTGACAGACAAGAACGGTTTGACATAAAAATGTCAAAATTGAAAATACTGTGGAAACAAAGACACCTACATCTTGGATGCCCTTGAGGTAAGATAAAACATATCAAAAATTAATTTCAAAGTGAACTATCCCTTTAAAGCCTGTGCCGATCTGATATAGGCCCCGGCAATAGCGAAGGCTTTAATGCTTCAATCGTGATCTGCGGACAGAGAGAATCAGATTAAGTGTGGGATTGTGTAGATACAGATAAATAGCTCTGTGCCAGATTATTTAAGGATTTAAAAACAAAAAGAAGAATTGTGAACCGGTCGGACGAGTTTGATCAGAACAGTTCTTGAATAGCATGTTAATGATGTGCTGGTTTCCTCTCACCTTCCTCTGAGATTCGCTTGACCAACATGTTGAGCTGATCCACGAACAGCTTCTTCTCACAGTTCATCATTCTGGTGAAACATTTCTTCAGCGCGAGAGACGTTCGGCCCGAGTCTCCCACTGCGCTCTGGAGCTCCTCGGCGGCTTCAGTCCCGATCAGCGCATGGAACTCTGGGACATCTGGAAAACACCATCAGACCAAGCACAGAGCTTCTTTATTAAATCAAGGCACTTCTACTGTGAAAAATCCATCAAATTGCATGGTTTGAATAAATATATACATTTAACATTTACATTTAATCATTTATCAGACGCTTTTATCCAAAGCGACTTGCATATGCTACTGATATTGAATTGATGTCCTAAAATTAATATATATTTTCAAAATATTTTATATTTAAATATTATTATGATTTAAATTATATATATTTGATTAGATTTATATAAATATATATTTATATATAAATATTTATATACATATACCTTTAAATATATATATATATATATATTAATTGCAAAAATTAATTGCGATTAATCGCATCCAAAATAAAAGTCTGTGTTTACATAATATATTTGTGTGTGCTGTATATAATTATTTTGTATATATAAATACACACACATGCATGTATATATTTAAGAAAATGTGTTATTCATATGTGAAATATTTATATTTATATAATCTAGATTATGTATTTATATATACAGAATTTAAGCGCAAATAATTCTTAAATATATACATGCATGCATAGGTATTTATATATACAAAATAATTACATACAGCACACACAAATATATTATGTAAACACAGACTTTTATTTTGGATGCGATTAATCGTAATTAATTTTTGCACAGCCCTAATATATATATATGATTCGATTTATAGATTTTATTATAATTAATTTTTTATTAATAATTAAAAAAAAATTGTTCTCTAAACTTACTGAACTTGCTTAGTACAATTATTTTTCTAGTGCAATTTCCCAAAAATTATTTGTATGAGTAACAGTGAAGTGCAAAACAATATCATCATGTATAATATACAGAAGTTAACTATGATTCAGTATCAATGGTGAACAATGATTAAACAAACACTTCCATAATTTTAAAAGCTTTAGACGATTTAAGTTAAAAAGGCTGCGGTTCACACAAACGTCCATTACACTTCTGCAATATGACACGTTTCCAGGTGTCAATGAGAAAAACGTAATAATAACGGGTGCGATTTTGTGTCATCTCCAGCTTTAATCCATTAAACACTCACTTTTGAGGAAGCCCAAGATCTCCTCCATCGGCCGGAAGCCGCAGAGCCCTTCGAAGCGAGTGAGTGCGATGGCCATCTCCGGTTTGTGGTTGTTGTCTGGGTAATGTTCAGGAAACTGCGCATGGAGTCTGGCAGCCAACTCCTGTCAAGAGACAAGGACAAGATACATCAGCGGATCGCTCTGCTCGTACCCGAGTACATTTCTATGAGGAACACGGCCTCCAATCTCACCCTGTTGGGATGCGCCTGGATGGACAGAGCCGTGTTGACGGACAGCACTTTGAAAAGGAAAGGGAGCTGCCCGTGGAATGTGTCCTTGACCTTTGACCCCAGGCAGCCTGGGAAATCTGCAATCCACTGTCCCAGTGTCCTCTGGGATATCCTGTTGTCTTTGATGAGAGCGTCGCCTTTGGGATGAGCACCCATCCAAAGCTTGAAAGACAGCAGAAAACAAACATGTAATGATCAGAGATTCATTTAGTCTCTTATTATTGACTGTTCTTAAAGGTGCAGTCACTGATCTGTATAATGATATATATATATTTAGATCAGTGGGTGAAGTGCGAATGTCAAAATGAAGGGTCCTTTAAGATCTGAACACATGCTGTGGGTTCATTAATAGACTGCCAGATAAAGTGAATGTCAGGCTGACCTTTAAGTGAGCTGCTATTTTCAGAGACACTTGCGCTTGTTAAAGTCTGATACACAATGAGTGCGATGAAACTGTGGTTTTCTGTCTTGTATTTTATCTCAGAATGTGGGAATTGGTGGAAATAAATGAATACAGACTCTTATTTGCATGAGGGAAACATAAAGCCTATTTCAAATTTTTACAATATATTGTTTTTCCAGGATTTCGGTAATAAAAGTTCAGGCTAGATCTTTTAAATTCATGCTTTAAAATGGACTCGGACAACAATCAAATCACTGAAAATACCTTACGACACCACGAGAAACAATTATAGTCTGAAGAGGGATGTTGACACAGTTTGAAAGTCTCTGCATTTTTCTGCTGATTGGCTCTCAAAAGTGATCGGTATCGACCAATTTATGTTCATTTTTAATGTTATTGTTAACATTGGCCGATATATATTAAAGCCGATAAATAATGTATTATGTCCTGAGACACTTCAGATGTGCACTGATCAACATGATGGTTTTGAATTGCTTGAAATCATTATCGGTCTGTCCTATAAGCTGGGACATAACATTTTAATAAGAACATCATAATTGTGTGCTTAGGTCATGAATTTTAATGGTGAGACTTTTGTTTTTGTAATCAGGCTGTCAAAAATTATATAACGTTTTAGATTTATCCGCTCATATACTGTCTTTCAAATGTAAATAATTATCGGTAATCGGCCAAAATGTTCATATCGGTGCATCCCAAATTATTATTAATGCAGGGGTGTATTATTATAACATCAATAATACTAATTATTACACAGTTTGAAGGTCTCTGTGGCTCTCTTTGGCTTTCTCAAAAATTTTTAATTACAACACAGGCAATAATAAAAAGTTATCAATGAGGAAAATATGAACAAAATTCTGTGTTTTTTTTCATGACATTTCTATCAGTTTAAAAGCATTTTATATATAGCGAATCAATATTTTTATATACAGTAATTTAGTTTTTTTTTTTTTTTTTTTTGGGTGGAGTCTGGGTGGGTATTGGGTTCTTCGGATCTGATCCACACACTACCTCTGCATAGTGTTTGGTCTCCTGGATGAGAGCCTGAGGGTCTCCACCGAGCACGAGCCGGGCCACCTCACTGTCCTGGCCCACTTTACCCCAGGCATAGTTCTGCACCACACAGCACAGAGGAAACACTGCGGACACAGACACACTCACATCATCTGAGCGAATCCAACCGCGCAGAAGCGTGACATAACACACATATCCTCATGTCATATGATTTAACGAATGGATGAATGGATGTGAATCACATCGACGAGAAACACTTGCACACACAAAAAAATCCGAACAACCGAACAAATAACTAATCCACCCAAACGACACACACACCAACAATAACAACAACCAGTCATGTTCCAATCCGCTGCTTGATACTAAACGCTTTGTAAAATAAAAAATGAAATGTGAAGTGAGATTAAACTGACCTTTCACTTCCGCCATGTCTGCGACGTTTACAGTCACATAGGTGACGTCATGGCTCGCCAACCAATCACGGGCCTTTAGATGTAAATAAATATAATTCATACTGTACAATAAAATGTATGTATGTTTAATTTTAAAATGTAGTCTAAGAAATTTCTATGAATATCTAATGGTTAAGTTAAGGTAATAAAATAAGGAGGTTAAATATATAATACATTTTTCTTATACTATAATTATATATGCATAAAACAATAGAGACAATTTCATTCAGTAGGCTATAATGAAAATCAATCAATCATTTTATTTCTTAAGCACGTTTAAAAGCAACATGAGTTTACAAATGAATAAATGAATGAATGAATGCAAATTACCACGGGTATTTTTAAGAAAAAAGAAAAAAAAAACTATATAATCTAAATAAGTGCTATTTTTTATTGATAATTATAGTATCACTATTAGTCTTAGGAGATTTAGTTCATTCAAAAAATTGACAGTCAGATTTAGATTGACAGTCAGAAAATTTTGTTTTCTGCATATAAAGTTTTTTTTATGCAGAATATAAAAGTTTACCTCACTAATCATCAAAAAAATAAAAAATAAAATTACCATCAACGTCTTCTGATGACGTCGCAGTCAGATCAGCAGCGCATGCGCGTCACGCACTCACTACGGAAGTGCGGAGAGGAAACAGCAGAGTTCGCAGTGTTTCTCCGGTGCCGCTCAGTTTATACTCTAAAGGCGGATAAAGTCCCTCACAATGTCGGGATTTGACTCAAACCCGTTTGAAGAGACAGTCGACGTCAATCCATTCCAGGTGAGAAACTCGCGGACCTCTGGAGAAGCGCTTCTGTGGGGTTTAAGTGGGTGTTTAGGCGAGTTTCGCAGGGTTTGTGTTGATGTATATGATGATGATGATGATGATGATGATGGGAGTTTTGGGTCAGATGAGTTCGGTTCGGCCGTTGACGTGTCATGGTCGCTTATGCGGTGTTATTGTGTTAGTTGTCGCTGGTGAAGGGTGTGTATCCGCGCAGGTTTTGTGACACGCTGAAGGCCAGAGCGCCACTCCTGTTAATGTCACAACACTGTAAAGGCTGCAATAACAGTATAACTGCCTGAATGCAACTCTGTGAGTCACAGTGAGTGTGAGGCTCTGATCACCTATTCTTCTCTTCATCATCTCTAATGCGCCACATAATCGAGATGAACTGCGTCAGACAAAACTCAAGACTTCTGAATGCATCTAATCAAGACATGCAGGGCTGGCATTATGCTTTCAGTATCAAGTGAAATAATGCCTTTTGATTTATTGAATGAAAACAACAAACGTGACTGACAATTATGCACTGTACAGTGCAAAGATCCCACAATGGTGTATTTGCTATCATGAGCTTTTTTTCAATGGTTATTTGTATGATTCTAGTTTCTATGTGTAATGTGAATATAGATTGCATATAATGCATTTCCAAACTTTTTTGCACAATTTTAAATACAAAAAAAGGGCATGCACTGAAAATAAGAAATAGACATTATATATGCTACTTTAAAATATAATGATGCACTATATGCGTTACATTAAATGCCTAACAGATCAGGATTTTGACAAGATATTTGACAAATAACATTGTTTTAATCCACATTAAAATTTTGGGTTAAAATCTATATAAATGAAAAATGTGAAGTGTATATTTTAGGTGCATTTATTAACTTAACTTTTTTTTTGCAGTTCATTTCAATAGTCTTGCTGTGTGCCAAATGCACAATTATAAAAGTAAAAATATGTTGTAATCTGTCAATTAATTTGACACTGTGTCACCTGCTGACTGATGCACACAGACGTATCACGGTTTGCTTTAGTTAGTCTGTTTGTCATCTGGCATGTTTGTTGTGTTTTCATTGTCTGGAGTCTCATTAGTTTTAATGCAGCAGAATATTGAGTTATGCACAAAGCAAACATTCCTGTGCTCCTCGTCCCCCTCGACGGGAAATACAGATCGTTTGTCTGCTGGAATAGAATCATAATTCAGATGTTTAGTTACGCATCCATGCACTGATTTGAGCAGCTGAGTTTGATGGTTATGATCCATGAAAGTGTCCATTTTCACATTGTATGTCATTGTCATTGTACATAACAGTATGTATTGCCTAGTTCTGCTGTGAAGCGCACTTGTCCTGCAGGAGTTTCTGTGGCGGTGATTCGGGTCGAGGCCTGTGGGAATGAGAACAGGTGTGTCTGTCAGGACAGACGGCAGAAACACACTCAAACACAAGTCATTTTTTGTGCAACTTTCTGAGGAATATTTGCAGCTTAGATTCAAGAAAAGAATTTTGATGGGGGGTGGAAGTTTTATGTACTTCTGAAAGTTGATTGTATTGGACGGTGAATTAGATTTTCCCTGATTCGAACCTTTTAAGATCCTCCTGAGGACAAAGGAAGTTCTCTATCTATTGTGTTTTATGCGTCCCGCACTGGGTAAATATTTAAGCTGCTTCCTGTAAAGTCCTGCTCTGTCTGCCTGATGCAACGTCAGATGTGACTAATGAGATTCACATTAAAGCAGCACTAAGTAAGATTTTTTTTTACCTTAAAATAATGTTTTCAAAATCGTTCATCAAGTCATGACATGGTGAAAGGCACTTGTGCACCGCTTTTCAGTCCTTTACCTGATATATCCACGCTATTTAAGATTGCCAGATCGGGTCGTGTTTCTGTAGTCCGAATGAAACATAAGAAAACTACAAATTTGACTTGCTTTATGGCAAGCATTAAAATTGTGGATAGGTGTTGTCAGCTGCCTATAGCAGAGAATAACATGAGCAAATAACACTCAAATGAAGAAATGCAGAAATCAATTGAAAAGCTGCAGTCCGATGCGTGTGTGTGTGTCTGTGTGTGTGATTTGCAGAGGTGAACTGATGGACCGTACGAGTGATTTAGTTTAGTGTAAGGAAGGATCAGAGCTGATATCAGGATTTGACATCCTCATTATGACCACAGAATCATCTGAAATATAACTGGATGAGTGTGACCTGTTCAACTCGCTGTGATGATGATGATGATGTCACTTCTATTGTTATTAAGGCATGTGACTCAATAAAACTTGTGATGTATGATTAATGAGGCCTTTGCTACTTTGTAAGGACCATTAGTTTTGGATTGAATGCATTTACATTAATTTAATTTTTTTTTTTTTACAGCACTCTTCTTTGATTCACTCTGTGGCTTTTAAGCTGCTTTATAAATACATTTAGATTTGTTCTGGATCCATTAAATAATAATAATAATTAAAAATATTACATTAATTATTAAATAATTGAATTAATGCCATTTAAACATTTAAATATAATATGTATTAATTATACATAAATTAATTTTAATTTATACATAATAAAATATTTAATATTAATTTATTATAAAATATTAATTTATATATAAAAATATTTATTAATTATATATACATTATTTAATTTATAATTATAATTATATAATTTATATAAATATAAATTATTATTGTGAAATGATATTATTCAGTATTTAATTTAATATTTATTATTTAATGTATACACACAATTGGTCACCAAGGCTGCATTTATTTAATGAAAAATACTGTAAAAACTACTGTAATGTTGTGAAATATTATTACAATTTAAAATAAGTGTTTTCAATGTGAATATATGTTAAAAAGTAGGCTAATTTATTCCTGTGATCAAAGCATAAATCATCATTACTCCAGTCTTCAGTGTCACATGATCCTTGTGAAATCGAATATGCTGGCTGTATAGTATGTAGTATAATAATAATAAATGATAATGATCCAGTAATAATAGTGTGTCCATCTCTTTCAGGATCCGTCTGTCACTCAGGTGACGAACTCTGCAATCGAGGGCATCGAAAGTTTCACTCCGTTTCCCGATGGTAACTCGGTGAGTCTAATGCACATTAGTCACTGCTTGTGTGTGACGAGGATCTTCATCAGAGTTATGTAATTGTGCTCTGAACTCTAATGTAATAAAGCAATAAGCTGATTTTACCACGGTTGACAATGCATGATGTTGCTGCCGGCTTCAACAGCATATCACACAGAACACCAATGCTTTGCATTTTATTATCCATTAATAGAGCCGATTTTTATTAAATATTGTTGGATTTCACACACGTGTAAAAGAAAAGCTAACTTTTCTGCACAAGATACGTTTGATACTTTTTCTCTATGTCACTCCTCGCAAGTCTAACTTACATTTTACACTGCAGGGACGGTAACTAGAGATATGCTAGTTATAAATACAGTAATCATTACTTTATTTAGGCAGAAAAAGTTCATTGTGGTTTCCAAGCTCATTAATGTTAACGTTAGCGGTCTTCCACTGATGATAGTGGCATTAGCTAGCTTTGTGGTTAGCTAGTCTATGATGAGCCATAATTTAGCAATAGATAACGTCATACTGCAAATTGTAAAACATACATTTTCAATATAACAGGCCAAGGAGAGATGATTAAAGCGTGTTTCGTCCATTTTTATTGTATTTTTTAAATATTAATTTATCGGCCATTGTAACTGCCGATACCGATATTTTGGAAAATGCCTAATATCGGCCGATAATATCGGTCTGGCTCTATATAAAATCCCAATAATTCTGTTTTTTGGTGTCAGGGAAGCACCATCCCGGCCTCCAGCGTCCCGTCTCAACCTGCTGTCCTGCAGCCGTCAGTGGATCCCGGGCCAAAGGTCAGCAGCTCACACACACACACACACACACATTCACATGTCTTCAAAGGTTGTAAGCATTCCCTTTCTGTCTCTCTCTATATTTTCTAAATGTCATCATTTGTTAACAAACAAGTATTCAGTACTTCAATGAGCTCATTGTTTCTGCCTTAAATTATTACATTGTTTAAATTAATATTTTTTGCTAACTGTGATTTGTATATGTACATTTCTGAAATACACGATTTAGACCGTTTCCTCTGAGAACAGATCACTGTAAATTGTAATATGCAATTTCTGTAAATGATGTGATGTGTGTTGTGAAAAGCACTATAGAAATAAAGGTGAATGGAATTAAATTGACTTGTGTGTGCAGGCCACAGCTGCAGCTGCGCAGGCCAATCTGCTCAAACAACAGGAGGAGCTGGAGAGGAAAGCAGCCGAGCTCGATCGACGAGAACAAGAGCTTCAGAGCCAAGGAGCGACAACGGGTAACACACAATCTCATCCACCATTACGTTTGCATGAGATGCAGTATCCCACAATGCATGTGACTTCAAATTCAGTGACAACCACAAGCCACAATTTTCATGCTCTTTAGACATAATGTAATCCGACCGCCACGAGTTCAGACATTTCTATACAAAACTGCATTAAATTAGAAGATGACTATGTGTTATCTGGGCTCATGTTGCATGTTTCACTGCATGCTATGCTCATATCAGTGTTATATTAACCTAATTTATATACTATTACAGTTTTTGTTAATGTTTTGAATTAGATTCTATTTTTATATTTTTCCACTTTCATTTTAATTCTAAATTTTTGTTCATTTTCTTGTGTTTTTGCCATTTTTATATGTAATTTTTAGTTGTTTTAGTTATTGCAGTACTTCATCTTAAACTAAACAAAAATTAGAAATGTTGCCTTTTATTTATATATATATATGAAGAGTTCAGATGCAAAAGCCTCTAAATGCCATTTGAAATTTTCTTCTTTAATGATGATTTTTATCAAACTTTTTTATTTAAGTTCAGTAATTTCACTTAAATAACTATTAATAGGTAATTATCATTGCAATTTAAGTGAAATCACTGAACTTAAATATACAAGCTTGATAAAAATGATCATTCTAGAAGAAAATTTCAAATGGCACTTAGAGGCTTTTGCATCTGAACTCTTCATATATTGTTTTTATATATATATATATATATATATATATATTCAGCTTGTTGGCTGAAATAAAATCAACATTGAGTTTTTATGGCCGCTTTTTAAAAATAAGGTTTATTAGTTGACATGAACTAATAATGAACAATATTTCTGTAGTGTTTACTTACATTAGTTAATGTTAATTTATCGTCATTTATATACTATTACAGTTTTTGTTAATGTTTTGAATTAGATTCTATTTTTATATTTTTCCAGCTTCATTTTTGTTCTAAATTTTTGTTCATTTTCTTGTGTCTTTGCCATTTTTATAAATTTTTTGTTTTGTTTAAATATGTCCATATAATTTTCAGTTGTTTTAGTTATTGCAGTTCTTCATCTTAAACTAAACAAAAATGAGAAATGTTGCCTTTTTATATATATATATATATATATATATTTCAGCTTGTTGGCTGAAATAAAATCAATGTTGAGTTTTTATGGTAGCACTTTAAAAATAAGGTTTTATTAGTTAACATGAACTAATAATGAACAATATTTCTGCAGCGTTTACTTATATTAGTTAATGTTAATTTCAACATTTAATAATATATTTTTTACAATCAAGTTTTTTGTTTGTTAACATGAATTAATGCACTGTGAACTATGAAACAACAATGAACAAATACTAACTAAAATCAATAATTTTTTTTCAACATATTTTATTACTCACTGTTTGTTCAGGTCAGTTAATAAATAATGAAACGTTTTGTAAAGTGTTACTTATTTTATTTGAAGTAATGAAAATGTTTTTATGGTTTTAGTTTTATTTGTACCAGGGCTGTCAAATCGATTAATCACGTGTGTGCGTGTGCGTGTGTAATATATATATATATATATTTATATTTTTATATATATTTTATATATATATATATATATATTAAAAGTAATAGTATGCAGTATTTAGTGCACAGTATGCTAGTATTTCCTTCTGAGTGTGTTTGCATACACATCTGAACTGCATAAATCAACAGACGGGTCCACAGCACCTTTATTTGTTGTGACTGTTTGACAAGTTTTGTGTGATCTGGGTGTTTGTTTCTCCTCAGGCAAACAGAACAACTGGCCTCCTCTCCCCAAATTCTTTCCCATCAAGCCTTGCTTCTACCAGGACTTCTCCGAGGAGATCCCGCAGGAGCATCAGAGACTCTGCAAGATGTTGTATTACCTGTGGATGTGTGAGTTTAACATCGTCAACATCAAGCTTTTCTCAGTAGCACTTTATTCTACAGTCCTGTTTATCAGGATTATTGCAGTAATGACTCTCTGACTAGATCCTAACCCCTAACCTTTAACTTAACCCAACCCATGTATTGACCTTACACTGCTCAGTACTTTTGTTTGGTCAAATTTCTCATTTCTTATTACATATAAATGCTCTTATTTTGATTGATTCATCGGAGTATGTTGTTCCAAGTACAAAAAATTTTTATTATTCATAATTTTTCATAAAAATAAGTTTCACCTCTCATTCGATTGACCAGGGATGGATGTTTTTGTGCCTTTTTAGATTTTAGACCTTAATAATAATTGACTCCACTTATTGATTTCTGTGTGCGCATTTCAACTCTCATTTTATTTTCTTGTTGAATATTAAAGCGTGTTTATTTATTATTTATATACTGCTGTTGTATTTGTTAGTGTTTATAATTAACCTGTATTTTATCTTTTCATTTTAATTTCAGTTATGTTCCTTTGTTGTCTTTATTCGTCATTGATATATATTTCTATTTAGCTTTAATTTCCTTTTAATTAAATGTTTTAATGTTCAAGTTTAATATTTATATTTTTAGTTTTTATATTTTAATATATTTAATATAATTTATGTTTATAATTTAATATAATTTATATTTAATATAATTTTTAATATATTTATGTTTTTATATTTTAAAATTTTTAATATTTATATTTTGTTTTATTACTTTATTATTAATTATACTTTAATATTTTACTTAATTGTACTTTAATTTTTTTTTTTAATTCCGTAATCCATTTAACTTCTGTATTGTGAATTTTGAGCTGAGATTGTGTCAGGCATTGCCCTTGTTTGATGTGTGTGTGTGTGTGTGTGTGTGAGTGCAGGGCAGTGTGTGACGCTGTTTCTGAACGTCCTGGCCTGTCTGGCGTTCTTCACTACCGACTCAACAGGAGGCGTTGACTTCGGCCTCTCCATCCTCTGGGTCATCATGTTCGCTCCGTGCTCCTTCCTCTGCTGGTACAGGCCCGTCTATAAAGCCTTCCGGTGAGCCTCTCCTTTAATATACACTAATGTGTTCACAAATGACTGACACAACCATCAAACATTTCTTCTGCTCAACACAAAGGAAGATGGCCTCCATAGTAGGAAAAAAAATACTATGGAAGTCAATGGGGAACATCAACGGTTTGGTTACCGACATTCTTCATAGTATCTTCTTTTGTGTTCTACAGAAGAGAAAAAATTTATTCCAAAAAACAAACAAACTTGAGGACGAGTAAATGATGACAGGATTTAAATTTTTAAGTGAACTATCCCATTAACTACTGTTTTGCTATTTTTTAACTTAAGAATAAATAAACAATTTTATGTATTTCCAAAATTTTTTTACTGCTTATTGTGCTTAAACAGTCAAACACGGAGTTAAACACCAGTCAAACACCAAACACAGAGTCGAGAACGCCCGAGTCGAGAACGCCCGAGTCGAGAACACCGAGTCGAACGCGAGACGAGAACGCCCGAGTCGAGAACGCCCGAGTCGAACGCCGAGTCGAGAACGCCTGATTCGAGAACACCGATTAGAGAACGCCCGAGTCGAGAACGCCGAGTCGAGAACGCCTGATTCGAGAATGCCCGAGTCGAGAACGCCGAGTCGAGAACACCGATTCGAGAACGCCGAGTCGAGAACGCCGATTCGAGAACGCTGATTCGAGAACGCCGAGTCGAGAACGCCGATTCGAGAACGCTGAGTCGAGACCGGCGATTCGAGAACTCCTGATTCGAGAACGCCGAGTCGAGAACGGTGATTCGAGAACGCTGAGTCGAGAACGGCGATTCGAGAACGCCTGATTCGAGAACGCCGATTCGAGAACGCCTGATTCGAGAACGCCGATTCGAGAACGCCGAGTCGAGAACGCCGATTCGAGAACGCCTGATTCGAGAACGCCGATTAGAGAACGCCCGATTCGAGAACGGCGATTCGAGAACGCCGAGTCGAGAACGGCGATTCGAGAACGCCGAGTCGAGAACGGCGATTCGAGAACGCCCGATTCGAGAACACCGATTAGAGAACGCCCGATTAGAGAACGGCGATTCGAGAACGCCCGATTCGAGAACACCGATTAGAGAACGCCCGATTAGAGAACGGCGATTCGAGAACGCCGAGTCGAGAACGGCGATTCGAGAACGCCGAGTCGAGAACGGCGATTCGAGAACGCCCGATTCGAGAACGCCGATTAGAGAACGCCCGATTCGAGAACGCCGATTCGAGAACGCCGAGTCGAGAACGCCCGATTCGAGAACGCCGATTAGAGAACGCCCGATTCGAGAACGCCGATTAGGGAACGCCGATTAGGGAACGCCCGAGTCGAGAACGCCGATTCGAGAACGCCGAGTCGAGAATGCCTGAACACCGGTGCTTCTAGGATTTTGTCAGCACATTTCTGTCACTTTGATAATTCTTAAATGTATTTCTCTTTCAGGTCTGACAGCTCCTTCAATTTCTTCTTCTTCTTCTTCGTTTTCTTCGCTCAGATCGCGGTGTCTGTGATTCAGAGCGTGGGCATTCCCAATTGGGGCAACAGGTAGGAATAAGAGCTTTCCTTCACAGCTTCATTCTGAATGACAGTAATTCACTAGTAGTTTTTGTTCCGGATCTCTATCACAGGAGTATTTGAGCGCAGAAGTGAGTGTGTGAGCTGCACCGTTGGTCTTTTCTCCTCTTTCTGACACTCAGCTCTCTCTTCTTCTCTTTGACCAGCGTCTCTTCCTCAACTAACGGTTTTCTGCTGCTGGACTTCCTTTAAAACTCTTGCTTCCTATCTGAAGTATGTCCTCTTGCTCTTGAAACTTCTTGCTTTATCCTTTCCTCTTAAAGCAGCGCTTTGCCCCGAAAATAAGTGTTACTTGATGTCTCAGTACTCTTCCATTAAAACAAATTTATGAGAATAATATTAATATGAGACTCTTGAATAATATTAATATGAGACTTGTTACAGCTTTAAATCAGCATTCTGAGATTTAAATATTTTTGAATAATGAGGCTAAACTGTATAATTGGTTATACAGGGGATCTGTGCTAGTTTCATTTATAAACTAGAAATTCCATTTAGTTAAGTTTTCATAAATATTCATAAATACTGCTGAAATTTCATGTGCTTGTAATGTAAAAAGGAGACGTGGCTATTGCAGAATACAGAAAAAATATATAATATTTGTTTTAGAATTGTAGAATTAATATTTTAATATTATTTATTTGTTTTATATATGTATTAATTTTATAGAATATAATTCAAAGTTTTATATATTTTATTTTTATCTTTTATCTCATCTTCTAAGTAAAACAAATAGTATATATACTAAAAATGAGAAATATTTTACATGTTTTAGAATAGTTTTCTTTTTCATTTATATTCATTTCGAATGTAAAAAAAAATATGTGTATATAAATTTAATTAAATGTGTATATATACATTTTTTTATAGAATACATTTAGAGATAAAATATATAAAACTATAATTTATAATGTAAAATGTAAATCATTTCTTTTGTTTGATACATGCATTCATTTTATAGAATATAATTAAATATCAAACCATTGTTTTATTTACTTAAATAAAAAAGTCAGTTAATTCTGAACAAAACAAATAGTATATATTGTAAAAATGCATGCAATAGAGAATCTGAAATATTCTTTTGTATGGACATATTAGTAGTAGCACAGCATGATTTAGCCGGATGAAGCTTGCATTGTTTACCCGCTGTTGTTGTTGTTGATTGCAGCGGCTGGATTACTGCCATACAAGCCATGGCTTCTAATAAAGCGGTCGGGATCATTATGATGGTGGTGGCAGCCTTCTTCACGGTCACTGCCGCGCTGTCCGTCTTTTTACTGAAAATGGTGAGTATCTCGGAGTGTTTGAGTGGAAATCTGTGTGTCTTTGTTTGGATTCATGTGTCGTTGGTGTTTTCCAGGTTCATTCCAACTACCGTCGCACTGGTGCCAGTTTCCAGAAGGCCCAGCAGGAGTTCTCCCAGGGCGTCCTCACGAACCGCACTTTCCAGAGCGCAGCCACCACCGCCGCCACCAGTGCCGCCCAGAGCTCGTTTCAGAGGAACTAGATCACGCATCACTTCCTGCTCACCCTGAACCCAAAGCCCAGCTGCACTCACAAACGTTGCCCTCGATCACCTGCTTTGGTTCTGGATCTTCATTTGGTCCCAGTTTGGTCTTTAGACTGCAGAGGCACTACTTTTATGTGTTTTTTTTTGAAGGTATGAAGTTTAAATGTTCATTGGTGAGTTTGTATATTTGTATGTATGCAGAAAATTTCCTGTATCCTTTTTGACCTCGATTATGCTGTATATAAAGTAATTTAATGTTTCCCTGTCATCCGGAGGGATACAGGAGTGATCAGTGTCCTTAAATTAAAATAAGTTGATTCATGAAAAGAACTCAAGCCCTTCTCATAGCAATGATGAAGAAGGTTACATGCATGTGACGGTTATGCGATTCAGACTTCAAGAGCATCATTCCTAAAATATAATTAGATTTTTATTCTGCATTCTTTATAAGTGCCAAAGAATAATGACATGCACATGGACGCATTAGAATCAGAAAGTTGACGGACACGGAGAACATTGCTAATATTGTCTTAATCGTAAGACTGAAGGTGATGTAGGTTTGCTTCACGCTGCATAAATGTTTGATAACTATCGTTCATGTGTACGGGCTTTTTAGGCTACTGATTGTAAAACGGTCAAATCAGAATAGTTTTACTAGTTTTACATGGTTGATTTTTTTTTTTATCATCCTAGCTTTTGAAACAAATGTGTAAAAGGGTTTGCAGTAAAATGGTCCTGAAATGCATGTTAACAAAATAAAATAATGCCAGATAATATTACCAGAAAGGGTTATATCATTTTGTCAGATGAGAAGATTTTTTTCAACAGTGTATTGAAGTTTTTTGAGCAAAATAAAATTTTTCTGATTAACAAATTTTGTCCGAGTCATTATGGTATCAAGCAAAAATAAATAATCAGTGTGTATCGTTTGCATTCTGAGCAGAATTCCTAGTGAACAAACCCTGCATGACACATGATATCCTTTAGTATGTTGTATGATAAAAAACTTAAATTTAATCATGACATTTGTGATCTGTTTAACTTGATAATGGGAATTAAAATATATTGAATAAATGTTGATGTGTTGATGGTCCCCCAAATATTTTGTTGTATGAATACCTGAATAGTATATCAAAAGAAAGCACCTCTGTACCTTCATGCATTCTTATTTATTAACGCTTGAATGTGGGCGTTTCATTAGAAAAGCAACGTTTTTAACAAAATCGTAATTTTTTTTTTTTTTTTTTTTTTTTTTTTTTGTCAGACTACATGCATAAGCAATGCTTTTTTGCCTGTTTGGTTTAGATCCAGATAGTACTCTTTTCAAAGATGTGTAATAGCGCCCCCTACCATACAACGGTGAGAACGTGGATTGCCGGAAAATTTATTTTGGAGAAAATTTTATTTTGAACACTCCGCCGTTTTTTGAAATATGGCTTATTCACATTCTTTTCTACATTTAGATATGTGTGCAAATGCATTTTTGTCTTGTTTTAGTTCGACAGGGTCGGCGCTAGCTTAGCTTAGCACGATGAATGGAATTCTTTATTGGCAGCTAGCATGTCCTGAGTAAAAGTGATTAAAAAAAAAAACCAAACCCACGTAATTACTTCTTGTGGCCTGCGTATTCACAACGAGTACAAATAGTGATGCAGATTAACACTGGACTAGGCGATTTCCTAGTTAGATATTGACTTGGGATTATATACTGCTCAAAAAAATAAAGGGAACACTTAAACAACACTTAAAAAGTAAAAACAAGAAAAAAAGTATTTTATAAGATTATTTCATTCATTCAGATCTATGATGTGTTATTTTAGTGTTCTCTTTAAGGGGGAAGCACTGGCGAAGCACTGCTACTTGGGCGCAGAGATATCAAATAAATGGATATCAAGACAATAAAATCATATATTTTATATTAAAAATTAAACCATTTCGTCACTATGATTTATTTATTTCTTTACTGTATTTGTGTATTCTTTAAAAAAAAAACTTGTACTTTATTAATCAATAAACCAACAAATCGTTTCCATTTCCACCACGACGATTTCCACTGAAGCGCGGAACTAAAGTTGAGAAGACTCACACGGAGGGATTTATCAGCCGGACCCGAGAAGAGGAGCAGTCTATGGGAGCAACATTTCATAACCAATATTTGAATGAATTAACCTGAATTCGTGTTGAAATGTGGAGGTACAATGTTTGCTTTCCAAACAGCACTATATTAGAACTCAGTCAGCGAAAAATTACAGGAGAAAAAGAATAGGCATGCATTTTATCACGTGTTAACTTACACGTATTTGAATATTTCCGTTTATGATAACTTAATCGTAGATATGAATGCATGTATTTAGGTTTTTGCACTACATAATTTCCCATTTGTAAAAGTGAATGTTTGTTAATCATTGCCAGCTCAAACTCTAAAAATAACTGTTATAAATTGCATTTAAACTAAATGTATCCTGAACGCCTAAATAATAATCGCAATAATGTTGTCTGCATTCTGCACCAAGCGCCTGTTCCAGAACTTCAGCTGCGTTGTTCACAGGGTATCAGTTCGAATCCCGTCCCGTAGAGTGTTTCTTCTTAAAGGTACTCGTCTTTTATCTCAAACCCCCAAAGTGGGACTGTTCTGTTGGACTGCATGTGGCGTCACTTACGCCTCCGCTCAGGAGTCGCCCCATCAGAACCGAGCCACAGAGAGGAAGTCAATCGCCCGAGTGCAAATCCACAGGTTAGTATTCGTCTTGCGCCTGGGGCTCCGTGCCTTGGTGCTTTATCTGAAGTTCAGCCCCCTTCTGCTTCTGTATCCCCTGACTTTACTATCACACCGCTGGGCGTCCCGCTGGTTGGACGCACTACTTTGGGTCACTGAGACATCTGGACCTACTTTTATCAAACTGGGCCAGTGGGCCAGCACCAGACGGGACCTCTTCTCGCAGGACTTCTGCGACCGCTTCTCAAGGCTGCATGTGCGAGTAAAGCCTCATCCCTGGACTCACACCAAGCTGTGTCTGAGGAGGGCGTTTGGGGAGGGATGGAGGCAGATGTTCGTGTTTGACAGTAAGGAGCCTGTGGGGTCGGGATGCGTAGCACAGGTCTATCGGGCCAAAGCCAAGGTGGCGAGTGTTGAAGATCCGGCGTTCCAGCAACTGGTGGAGGAGTTGGGGAAGAAGAACCTCCTGGAAGCCTGGGAGATCCCTGGTCTGGGAGGAGCTTTGAGTGACCTCTGGGAGATGAATAAAGAAGAGGAAGAGATGGTGGATGTGAAGAACAGGGCTTTCGGACTCGGAGAGAGTCCTGGTGCAGGCGAACAGCCTGAGGAAGAGCGTCTGATACCCGTGGCTATTAAGGTAAAGATCATATTTGCTTAAATCCAATCAGCTGGATTAATTTGTATATTTTTATGTTCCGGATTTTTATGCACCGATTCCCAGTGAAATCTTCTGATCTTTATTTTTGTATAGCATTTTTTCACACAAATGTGATTTTTAAGTGATATTTTAAGGGATAGTTCATTTTGAAATTAATTTTTGGTATGTTTTATCTTACCTCAAGGGCATCCAAGATGTAGGAGTCTTTGTTTCCGCAGTATTTTCAATTTTGATATTTTTAGGTCAAAGCGTTGTCTGTCAGTCATATAATGGAGGTCTATGGTCACCACCTCAAAGAGCAGCACAGACAAGTCCAAATTAAACATGATTTAATGACTCGTAAATGTACACATTGATGGCCTAAAACACGAAGGGTTTGACCGAAAAATGTCAAAAGTGAAAATGCTGTGGAAACAAAGACAGCTGCATCTTGGATGCCCTTGAGGTCAGATAAAACATATCAAAAATTAATTTCAAAGTGAACTATCCCTTTAATGTGTATTTGGTATATACTGTATATTCTCCACTAAATTACTAATTTATTTACACTAAACTATTTTCTATTATCAAGGTAAAAAAGGTTTTTAAATTACATTAATTTTTCAGATCTTGAAGTTTAAGTCAACATTTCAGTCTTATCCTGTTGACAAAAAGTGCATTATCTGGTTATTAAATTAATAATTTACACCAATAATTTTCTTATAAACTAAACACATTTTATTGAATCTTAACTTAAAAAATCTAATAAATAAGACTAGTCAAATGATTGTGTTGTTTGGGCCTAACTAGTGATGGTGGAGGACCACTCTTGTTTCAGTGGTTAGCTGGTTTGGGGTGCTGGAATAAAATATATTCATTTATTGTTTATATTTATTTATGGGTTTATTGTCTTTTTTTCTGTTGTTGGGATTTTTAATATGATCATTATTGTTTTTTCTTGACTCAGGTTCTTCATCCAGGAATCAGACGGCAGGTGCAGATCGATCTGATCCTAATGAAAGCTGGAAGTTTATTCCTCAACTGTTTGCCTGGCATCAAGTGGCTCAGCCTGCCTGAGATTGTAGATGAATTTGAGAAGCTCATGACCAAACAGGTACTGATGCTTTTATGAAGAACGTTCCTTCATGGCATTTAACCTCATCTAAAACCATCAAATAATTTTAGTTACTTGAAATAAAATAAAATAAATGTTGCTTTACTTCAGTATTGTGACGTATTTAAAGGGTGAAACGGAATATTGAATAAGAAAAATAGAGGGCGTGGCTTGTTTTCTCCCTCTGGGAATTGATTGGATCTAGAAAAAGTTCATTTTCAGATTTTGATTAAACATCGCGAAGACAGTTTTTTTTTTTGTTAGATTAACTTGCACAGATTAACTAGTAATGTGCACTAACAAAGTAAATAGGGTTTATTTTGATTTAATGCTGACTTTTACTGAAATTTTTATTTTAATTTTATTTCAGCTAGTTTTTAATTTTCACTTAGTTTAATTTGTTCTAAAATAACTAAAAGTGAAATTAAAAAAAATAATAATAAAAGAATAGTACTAAAACGTGAACTAAAATCAATATGAAATAGAAAATTAATTTTAAAAATCGAATTCAAAATACTAATAAAAAATATAGTCAGTGTTGGGGAAAGTATTGTGTTACAAAATTGCGTTACTTCCTACAAAAATTAAAAAAAATAATAAAGTGTGTTAATTAATTACTTTTTATGGAAAGTAAGTAATGTTAGTTACTTTTTCTCACCTAGGCTTGGCTTGCTTGTGTGTTTTTTATAACAAAAAAAGTTAGATTTTTGGCACATATGGTTGAATTGGATCATCGAAGGTCTGTAATTAATAAAGTGAGATTAAATGCATAAAATATCCTTGTGTAATTGAACATATTTAATTCTTGCAGGTTACGTAATATTCTGAGTTTCCATTTTTCTGTTTTTATTAATTTTGAGGAATACTGAATCTGTTTTTGTGCAAGGGAGATGAGTAAATGCAGGTTCACGTTAGTCTAGAGCTACATTAACCATTATATTTACACAATCTCACTTACTCCTGATCTCAACATGGGGACAGGGGAAGCGTCAGGCATTGTACTTGAAAAAGTAACACTATAATAGTGTCTCAATGATGCTAACATAACATTCATGGCGACAAAGTGTTTTTTTTTTTTTGGTTTTTTTGCTTTAACATGCTTTTTGGTGCAGATCGATCTTCGGTTCGAGGCCC